ACGGTGCAGTGCTCTGTTGCAGATGCTCCTGGCACAGGAGCCACAGCAGGGACCACCAACGCCGGGCACCTTTAAGACGCCTACCCCTGCTGCAGCCTGGAGCTTAACACGCCTCTGCCCCCCTCAGAACCAGTTCTGCATGCTGGTGCCCCTTCTTCACACTACCCTCTTTCAAATACAAGCCTCCACTGAGGGTCTTATTAGCCAAGCCTCTGTCTTGGGTCTGAGCCCTAGCTCCCAAGGAGCCTGAGGAAATGAGTTACTGACTTCTTCCTTGGGGAGGCGAGACTCACAGGAATTCCCCAAACCCGGGAAAGAAGTGCAAAAGGTGCCGGGCCAGCTCTACTTCTGGGCACACACCCAAAAGAAACGAAAGCAGGGACCCAAAGAGATACTTGTACACCCACGTTCATGGCAGCATTAGTCACAATCGCAAAAAGGCGGAAACAACACAAACGTCCACCTGCCGATGACTAGTTAAGCACAGCGGGGTATAGACGTACAACGGACTATTAACCAGACTTTCAAAGGAAGGGAATTCCGACATACGCTGCAACATGGATGAATCTTGAGGACGTTATGCCATGTGAAATGATCCAGACACAGGAAGATGAACGCTGTATGATTCCAGTTATATGAGGGACCCAGAGTGGTCAAACTCATACAGACAGAAAGCAGAATGGCATTTGCCAGGTGCTGGGAAAAGGAGGGAATGGGAGGTCATTATTTAATGGGTACAGAGTTTCAGTTTAGGAAGGTGAAAAAGTTCTGGAGATGGATGGGGGGGATGTTTGCACAAGAGTGTGAATGGAATTAATGCCACTCAACTGTACACTTAAAAATGGTGAAAATGGGGGCCAGCCCCACGGCCTCCTGGTTAAGTTCAGCGCGCTCCACTTTGGATGCCTGGGTTTGGTTCCCAGGAGCAGACCTACCCACTCGTCAGCGGCAATGCTGTGGTGGTGACCACATATGGAACAAGGAAGGCTGGCAGGGATGCTGGCTCAGGGCGCATCTTCCTCGGACAAAACGAGGAAGATTGGCAACAGATGCTAGCTCAGGGCGAATCTTCCTCAGCAAGAAAAAAAAATGGTTAAAATGGTAAATTTATATTGTGAATATTTTACTGCAAAAAAAAAGATGCTGGGCATGACAAATGTCCACTATAAGAACTTAGGTTTTTATTTTAGAGAAGAGAAAATGGAGGCCCAAAAAGTGGCAGACTAATCAATGGCGACATCAGCAAGTGTCTCCATCTCTAGGACTTGCTCCTTCCAGAAAGACACTGCTGGTGACCGTTAGAAGTTTGGATGCTGGCTCCCCAGCCTTGCTCCCTCCAGGTTCTAACAGGTAGGATGGGGGCCGGGCAGGCCATGAAATGAGTGAAGCGGGTTGGATGGGAGACCACAAGGAGAAGGGGTGACTGCATGAACGGAAGAACACACGCTCTGTCTGAACAGGGCAGCTGCCCCTCAGCTCTGCAAGTCGGACATGTGGGAAGGGAGCCCAATGTGGCTGCATCTTCTGGTTCTTTAAAAGAAGCCAGAACTCCAGATATTTATGTGAAATCTCCAGAGCTTTAATCACTGGCAACCGATTCAGATAAAAACAGAGAGGAGTCCACACGCCAATTAAATATCTGTGGGTTGAGTACCATCCTTGGGCTGCTTGTTTGCACACTCAGTGTTTGAGTATAGCCGCAAGGACCAAAGATAAATCAAGATATCGACTTTAATGGTAGATGCAAGTGCCCAGCAACTTTTCAAAGTATAGGTCTCCCCAGTAAAGGCTGATAAGAAAATCATGACTATTAACTAAAACCAAAATGACAGTCTCCTGTTATGTTCTATTTCCCAAATCTCACCCTTGGGGTCCTCCAGTGGGGAGAACTGGGATTGCCAATTAAAACTCCGAGGGCAAGGAGCCACCCCGCTTACTCGAAGGAGCACGATGAGGTCTGTCTTAAAGACTCATTAACCAAGGAACGGAGAGTGAGGGGGAGGAAAGACAGGAGACGGAGGGAGGCAGAGGGTCGGAGAGAAATCGGATCCGCATCCTCTTTTCGATGCTGACTCCTTCTGGAATGTTTGAAACTCTGGTGCTGGTTTGAGCAATCCGTTCTCTAGCTGACAGGGACCAATTGATATTTTTACTTGACTGACTCTTACCTGGTAAATTTGCCCCTGCGAGGAGGTGTCAATAAATAAGAGAGGGAATCCACAGACAGGGCGCCAGAAACCGTACATTTCCCAACTCTTTTTCTCCTCGAACTCCTTTGGCTTGACAGTCAAACCCATGGTCAACCTAGTGGCCCTTTCTCTCAGGGGAGAAGACAAGCCTCTTACTCTTATCGTCATGCAGTTGCTCACCCAACACCCACAACTGTCCCTTCGTGAGTCTGCCCTGGACCCACAGTGGGCAGTAGAACGTCCTGTTCAGGGTCAAAACAGATAATCAATAAAAGTAACGCCACAACCATGCCTTTCTATTTCCCCTCACAAATCGTCTGCTTTACCAAAGATTATATCAAACAACAGAATGGAATCATTGCAATTTTGAAAACTACGAATTCCAATTATCAGGTATGCCTGGAAAAATTAAAGGTCAAAAGTGAAATTCCCTTTTCTCATTAAATACAAAGAAACTAAGGTCCACCACCGGTTGAGCCCAATTGCCGCATAGTAAGGACTCTTTCGCCTGGAGAGTGGAGTGTGTTCTGGAAACCACTGCATGGCCCACGATCTGGCCCCCCGGTGGGCTGGATGCCTGCTGTCTCCACTCTCTCCGGAGGCTGCGAAGCACGCTTCTCGAATCCCCTCCCTCGTGGTTCTAGGGGCAAGTGCGGCAGTGAAAGGAGCTCACACGAGACAGTTGGTGAACGACTGGATCCAGCCCTGCCTGAAACCAACAGTTCCTTAGCCTTGGACTTGGCTGCATTAGCCAATATATCTTTTAAAGTTTAACACAACTAGGCTTGTATCAGTTGGATTTCTATGACTTACAACGGGCGTTTTAGTAACGTTCCCATGAACATAATGATAGGATGTCAAGGGAGTCTGCACATTTTCTCACTGACATTTCTCCCAAGGGTTTCACTGGGTGCATTTCCTTTCCTTATGTACACTTATCACACCTCCACTGGGGCCAGCTGAAGCTCCTTCTTTCTCATAGAGTTTACTCCTTGAATCTACCTTCTTGCCCGAGAGCGACAAGCTAAATGGAGAGGACGGACAATATCTCGCAGATCACTCATCCCCATGGACTTTTCTCTAAGACAGACTGTTGTGTCGGTTTATCATCTTAGAGAATGCCTAGGGAAAATAGTTTTTTGACTAGGACCTCTGCATTCAACCCAACTGTTGAGGACCTCATCAGGATAGCCTCTATTCATCTTGATCCTGCATTTTCTCCTTCACTGGAAAAGAGCTGATAGGGTCAATGAAAGTTAATTTCATAGATCCTTGAATTGCTTGCTTCATAAGTTCTTTATTTTTAATTTTTTTGAGGTTGGTGCCATTTCAAGGATTCCAACATTCCAGGCCATTAACATACTGCTTCTTTTCTAAAATGCCCCTCCCTGAGGATCCACGGACACGATGTGGAAATGATCCTTTAGATCAGAGGTTGGCAAATGACAGCCCATGAGCTGTCTATTTTTGTAAATAGTTACTGGAACACAGCCACACCCATTCATTTATGTATTGTCTGTGGTTGCTTTTGTAGCTGCTACAGAGACACTGCAGCTGCCAAGCCAAAAATATTTATCTGGCCCTCTTAGTTTTGGACTCCTAGCGACCCTGCGTACAGCAGAGCAGAACCGCGGCCTGTCTTTCTGCGCCATCCTCTTACCTTCTGGTGCTGTTGCAGACAATGCTCCGCTGCTGTCCACAGGGTTTTCATGGCCAATTTTTCCCGAAGTGGGTGGCCAGGTCCTTTTTCCTAGTCTGTCTTAGTCTGGAAGCTCCACTGAAACCTGTCCAGCATGGGCGACCCTGCTGGCATTTGAAATCTCAGTGACATAGCTTCAGCATCACAGCAGCCACCAGAGTGTGACAACTGACACTTGTGTAGGTCCCTGATTGTGAAATGGACCTGGGCCGTGGTGATGAGAGCGCCGAATCTTAACCACTAGACCACCGGGCTGGCTTCTGGCTCTGTACACAGAGTCTCCCGATCTCTGCTCTAGGTTAGTGCTTCTCCATCTCTTCCTTATCCTGACACCCGTCAATAATGGTACCCTGAGGGACGCAGTATCTTGACAAGCCTCTGGGGCGCACTGCCTGGGAAGGTCAACTCTAGGCCACGCGGGGCAGGACATGGCCCGGCATGTACCTGGCATACCGCAAGCTGAGAGCCTACTCTTCTTTTTGAGAAAGCTGGGCACCAACACACGACCTGAACCTTGGTTCTGCAGATCCTGTTTAGATTCCCATGTGGGTTTCAACTCTGGCCAAGGTCAGGGTTACTTCTCCCGCTCGTGGGAGGTGGTGGTGGTGGCGGTGACCTTTGGGGCATCTCCCTGAGCAACTGCCCCTGCTGCGTCATCAACACACAGTTCTAAAACGCGACAAAGGGCACAAAGACGTTCCCATCACTGGTGGGGCCAATCTGAGCCATTTGTGGTTCAAAACTAATTATCGCCACATCTGTGCAAGAGCGGGAGTGTGCTCCTGAATACGTGACCAGATCAGTGATGGCAGTGACTTGTCCTCTTCCCTCGAACGTTGCCGTAGTGAAGGCAGTTCATGCCGGTCTGCTGACCTGACGTCCCAGGGCCCACGAAACTGACTGGTGTCCACGACTTCACCTCTGAACTCCAACCACACGAGCTGTGGGACCTTGAAATGCCCATCCTATTTTGAGATCCCGGCAAGACACTCTTCCTTTCTCTCATTTAATTATGGTATAAAGTCATTGCAGAAGGCACGACAGAAGGGGCTGTCCACTCTTCACATCACCAGAGACCAGAAAAGTGGGTTAAGAACCATTCGCACCAGTAGAAAGAGTGAAAACTGCAAGTTTATTTGAAAGTATAAAATTAAAAAAAAAAAACAAAACCTAACCAAAAACCAAAGAGCAACCACACACAACCTTCCCAGTTTGCATCAGCTGTGAACATCACACACTGTTAAGTAACCACTTAGCTGCATTTTTTTAGGATGTCGATTTCAAAGTCAAGGGCGCTGAGTCAGGCTATCCACCACAGTGGACTGATTCTAATGTTAAAACAAAAAGGACCCGCTGATCTCATTTGAGAAAAGAGTAGACACGGTTTTCTCGTTGGCAGAGATTTAGGCAATGTATAAAAAAACATCCTGGTTGGAATGAGTTAAAAAATATTGCTGGCCACTTATTTGCTATCTTGAGTGAGGAAAAAAACCCCCCAAAAACCCTGCAGCTTTGGTGTCCTACTTATATATTTTTTAAAACATTCATTAAAAAAATCAAATCTATAATAAAAATGTCCCTTTGTTTGTTTTAAAAAACAACACTAATAGGCTGCCCTTATCTACTAGGACCATTTGTTTTTCCTAAGAAGCCTGGAAGCAGAAAAGCGTGTGAGATTAATTCACCCCACAATTAATTAAAGTTAGAATCCTTTCCTGTAAACAACTTCCAGAGCACCAGAAAGAAGCAGGGCCCATCAAAGGCGGAATGAAGCCCTCGGACTCATGGAGATGTGGGGTTCAGCCAGGGTTCCCAAAGCACGTTGGCGCCCATCAAAAACCCTTTCTTTATTGGATTACTCAGAAAATAACTCAAGTGTTATTTTAAAAACGAAAGATACAAGCAACTAGGTTCCTTTCATTTACTTAAAAAAAAAAAAAACCACCAAGTGGCTAGCTTTCCTGTAACATACTTTGGATTTTGGTTAAAAAAAAAAAAAGCCTACAGAACAGAATCACTGAATGCCACTTCACCCCGCTCCTGCAGGCTCCATCTGAACATAATCAGAGGACGCGCACCTTTCTCAGCTACGGAAAGAAGCCCGGGGCGGAGGGGCCACCCCCAGTGGCTCCACCTGTTCCAGTTTTGCCCCCCATCGGTCAGTGTGGTTTCTTGCCAAATAAGGCCCACCTTTCTACCCGTTATTTCCCCAGGGGGTGTGCCTGGCTGGCACAGAGAAAGAGGAAAGCTAGCACAACAGAGACTGTGAATGAAGGGAAAAGGACATCCCTTTTTCTGCTTCCTTCAAGAATATGATAAATAATAACTCAAAGTGCAACAACGCACGAACGCCTGGCACACAGGTCAGTCTGGGGTGACTTGTCATCAGGGCTCCGAGGGACAAAGGTGCCATCTCCTTTCACATCTTTCTTTGGACCTCACTAATGGAAAACACACAAAAAAAAGACAGCCTTGCTATACACATATAAATAGTCCCTTAACTAGAAGGGGAAAACAAACACACTGCTCCAAATGCATTTCTAAGAGATTTTTTTTTAAAAGTCCGAATGGCAAACCTTGACTCCAAATTGTCTGTTGTTCATGGCTCACAGGAGAAACTATGGGATGTCAGGAGGGGCCTGACCCTAAGTTGGGCACTGGTAGTTGGGCCCTTGGGGAGGGGCGCTCTGGCGGGAGGGACTGAACATGGTTCTCACCTGGGTGAGAAACCGCAGCATCGGCCGGTCCAGACACACAGATGAAAGGACCCCGAGTGCTGGGGGGACTTAGGAGGCTGGTGTCACAGGTGCATGAACGGGCAAGGCAGCGGGGGTGGTTATAGGGACGCAGGGCCGGATCAGATTATTGGCCACCTCAAGTTGTGTCCTTATCCCTTGGCTATGGGCAGGTCACAGCTGGGAGGGGACAATCCAGAAGCCAGGGACCAAAGGGACCGTGGACCACAGCAAGGCCCTGCTCGCGGCAGCCTGCACTTCAGGAGCTGAGCACTTGGATAGCCCCCGACAGGAGAGGCTGATGACATCCTCGGCTGAGACAGCTCTCAAAAGAGGATTCTCGGCCAAGGTTTAAAGCCAGAATCTACCCAGAGTAGACAGTTTCAGAGTCATCCACAAAACCAAAAGGACACTGCTGATGACTGAAGGGCGTTGCTCACGTCAAAGTCTCCTGTGGCCACTGCCTCTGCCGTACTGACAGCACCAGAGAGGGGAGCACAGGGCAGGTTCTTAGGCCCCCGGACTCTCCCCAGGGCGGCCATCCAATGACAGCCTCCTGGGCGCACCCTCCAACCCAAATCCCCAGATGGAGCTATCAGGTGGCAGCCCACAGAGAATCTGGTCCAGTGTCTCCCGCCCTTCTGAACATCCAACACGACCCAGAGACAATGCTGTCTCAAGGTCTACATATACCGCTTCATCCCGCTGCCTGCAAACTCACGCCGCCTACCCAGCAAGACTCCAGCCGTGACAGAACCAGGACGTGAAGAGTGGGGCTGTGATCCTGGGCCCAGAAGGAGGAGCAGCCTCCCAGAAAAGATGCCCAACGCATCACATCAACTGAGAGGCCAGAAAAATGCCAGGTCACCCTCCAGAGAACATCCCTGAAACCTGGGGGAGGAGGAACGGAGAGACAGCTGACCCCAAATCACCGAGGCACCCTGAGGAGCTTCCCGTGAGCGCAAGTTGTTAAGATGATAACAAGTCAGAGCAGATTAACCCATGTGGACTTCGGAATAACTGGATTTTATACTTCTTCGGGGCCCTGGCTGGGCACGGAGTCCCTGGGCTCGGCGGCACCCTCCCGAGGGCCAGGCTGCCCCGGGCTGTGGCCGGCCTCTTCTGTGCTCAGGAGGCTGCTGGCAGCCTGGGAGCTGGCACTGTTGGCACTCCCGGACCTCGAGCGGTAAGGTGGCAGGTCGGCTTGGTTCAGAGACTCCGTGTCAGAAGAGTAGGGTGGCGGGGGCAGGTCATACCAGGCGGGCCTGCAACGAGAAAGCAGGATGGGGAGAGGAGAGGAAGAGGAGGCATTAGGAGCCACGGCAAGGCAGGCAGCGCCACCTTCCGCCCCCTTCTGCGAGGATGCTGATGTGGGGAAGAAGGTTCTCCTCCAAGGAGAGAGGCGGTCCAAGGACTAGGAACCCAGCAGTTTGCAACAAGGGCACGGCAAAAGGCCAGTGTGCTTCGGAGGGCGTGGGCCGGCTGGGCAGTGCCAACACCACGTCCTTGGGGTGGCCCTGAGTGAGGATACCCAGATCTCCCTCCGCTGGTCCTGGGCAGTTTGGCAAGGATGCTCGCTCCATGAGCTTGGGGTCCCATGGCCAAGCAGCTGGCCTCGTGTTTGGATGGAGCCTCTGATGGTCCTCAGAATTTGGGGTTCCTACTGAAAGGCAGCTCCACCTGGCTGTGTGGACTGGGGTGAGTGAGAGGACATGCTCTCAACACCGCAGTCTCCTTATCTCTAGGAAAGGATAATGATGACCCCTCGCTTGCAGTGACATCACTTTGCAGAGAGGACACTTTATTTTTCAGCTCTCGCTGACTGAAGGGTTACTGCGAGTCAGGCACTGCGCCTCCTACAACACCTCCGTTCCTTGCCTTATTTAAGGCTCACAAGAATGCTGAGAGGGAGCCATTACTCTTACGCCCATTGTACTGGAGAGGAAACTGAGGCATGGGGGCATTAAATGCCTTGCAGAGGATCCCAAATGACTCGTCTGCAGCAGCGCTGCGACCTGAGCCCTGGCGCTCCGTCTCCGGTTTCAGCGACCTTCACCTGCTCTCTCTCTGGTGGGTGGTCCCAACGGAGAGCTTTGCACTTAAACACCGCGCCCTGAAGCTGCGTTCATCTTTGTGAGGAGGGAAAACAGATTAAATAACACAAGAGCTGCCACAGAGAGGACGCCAGAGGAGCCCCGTCACCCTGGGAACACGGCTGCAAAACGCCTCTCACCGCACGGAGAGTCCCGGGCTCAGAGCGGGTGGGGCGCTGCGCAGGGGCCCAGAAGGGCGGGCATTCCCAGAGCCAAAGGGGGTGAGCCAGCTCTGATCCAGGGACTCCCGAAATGGGGGCTTCAGGACACCTTGGCGTCACCAAGGAAGGAGAGGGGAAGGCCGAGCAGGCAGGATTCAGGCCTACTCCCCACTTCCGCTACAGAACTCCGCTTCTGGTGATGGGGTTTCTGGGTTCAATTCCATCTGTAATGAAGGCTCAGCAACGCTGGAGAGTGATCTGCGCCACCCCCTTTCTTTTACAGATGAAGCCAAGCAAAGTTAAGGAACTCATGTATTGCTCACTCATTCACTCACTCACTCACTCGTCCATCCATTCATTGAACATGTTACCCAAACCTCGACTAGTCCTGGGCATTGTCCTGTGGCAGCAGGTGAGGCCCCACAGCTAGGCAGTGGTCTGGTCATGTGCCAGTGTGGCATTACCAGGGTGGAGCAGGGCACCGAGTTGGCCAGGACGCTAACTGTATGTCCTCAGACAATAACTTAAACTCCCAGAGCCTCAGTTTCCCCATCTGTTAAATTGAGGCAAACACAGAACCTCCCTCAGCGAGCTGTTGAGAGGGTTAAATGAGATGAGACGTCAAGCGTCTTGCAAGGACTCAGTGAACGTCAGATGCTGCCGCCGCCGACAGCAGCTGAATCTAGGCTCTTGGTAAGACCTGGGGACGAGGTGTGCGCACATATTCCCCTCCCCCAGTCCCTGCCATCCAGCACGCACCTTTGGTCCAGCAGGGCCTCTGAGTAGGAGGGCGGGGAGCCCACGTCCGACGCGTTCTGCTCAGCCTGGCTGGCCACGTACTGGATGCCGTTGTTGACGTTGTAGGTGACGCTGCAGTGGTGGGGGTGGTCCAGGACCACCAGGCGGGAGAGCAGCACGGGATGCTGCAGCCGGTGCACGGGCAGCGTCATGAGGTTGTTCCTCTTCCGCTGGTGGTGGAGGACGAGCGCCAGCAGGGCCACCACCAGCACGAAGATGACGGAGCTGCCGATGATGGCGTAGGTGATGCTGGGGTAGTAGACCAGCTGGTTCTCCGAAGTCACAAACACCTGCCCGCTGCCCGGTTCTGAGAAAGCCCCGGGGGGAGAGAACAGGAGAGAGGTTACCAGTCTGGGCCACCCTTCACTTCCAAGTCAGCCCAGGACGCGCAGGCAAATGCTCTCAGCGGCGCGACTCCCAACTGCCAAAAAGAGAAAACCACACAGGAGTCCATCGACTGGTGAACGGACAACAGAATGTGTGATACCCGTACAACGGAACGTCATTTGGCCATAAAAAGTACTGACACGTGTTACAACAGGGATGAACCTCAAAAACACCAAGCTAAGCAAAATAACCCAAACACAGAAGACCACAGACTGCATGATTCCCTTTATATGAAATGTCCAGGAAAGGGAAATTTAGGGAGACAGAAAGTAGACTAACGTTTGCCTGAGGCTGGGGTAGGGGAATGGGGAGTCACTGAAAATGGGCATCAGGGATCTTGTCGGGGTGACGGGAATGTCCTGAAACTGGGTATGGCGATGGCTGCATGATATGGTAAATTACTAAAACTCAGTGAATTGGACACTTAAAATGGGAGAATTTTATGTTATATAAGTTATACTTCAATGAAGTTGTTTAAAAAAACTCAGCCCCAGGAAATATGACATGTGGGGAACACACACGAGGAACACTGGTCGGCGTGTCTGGGGTTCCTTACGTCTGCAGAACACTATTCTATCCTAGGCCGCAGGCCAAGCTCCCAAGACGGAGAGCCAGTACAGCACGGGCTGAAATCATGGACTCTGGAGCCAGGCTAGCTTCAGATCCAGCCCCTCAACTCACTGGCTGTGTGCCCTTTGAAAAGTGGTCAACCTCTCTGTGCTGTAACTTCCTCATCTGTAAAATTGGGGTGGTAACAGCCCCCACCTCACTGGGCGTGGTGAGCATGAGATGAGTGAATAATTATCACGCGCTTGGAACAATAGTGGACACCCTGCTGTGAAGGTGCTTGTTCAAGACACAGAAATGCAGGCTTTGTCACACTGACTTGCCTCATAGCAACTCCAGGAAGTAGGTGCTGTAACTCTTCTTTTTAAGATGAGGAAAGGGAAGCTCAGAGAGCTTGGGTCCCCGGACCAGGGCCACAGGGTTAGGAGGCAAGGAGCCGTGCGTGATTTGAGCCCAGTGGTCTGACTCCCAGCCTCGTCCCCACACTCGGCCCACGGCCCCCCCAACAAGACCTCCGCAGGCATCTCCTCAGAGGCCTCGGGCGGAGGTCTGGCACCCATGGCGCCCTGCAGACGGCCAACAGCCTCTTCTCCACAAGCTCTTCAAACACTCCGCGAAGGGGCTTCCCACTCGGCAGGACAGCAACCTCGGCAAGGCCCAGGCCGGCCCAGGAGGGCACGGCAGCCGCTCCCGCAGACAGCTGGACGCTGCATCCGTGCGGGAGAACCACGGCTGCCCACCGACGCGGCCCCGCCGGAGAAAGCATCTAAAGGCAGCTGGGTGAGCAAACCTGGGGACCACACCCGGTGCCTGTGACCCCCGAAACGGTGAGGAGGTTCAGTGGGCCCACAGGGGCCAAAATGCAGACGTGAAGTGGGAGCAGCAACAACCGCGGCTGCTCAGGCCCGTGAGCGGGAGCCGGGCCGAGCCCTCGGCTCTGCCTGTTCTGGGTGGGCATCGCGGTCCGCAGTGTGGAGGGTGTGCCACGCACACAGAAGCACTCAGTAAATGCAGACGACTTGAAAGAAAAACCTGTGCGTTCACGCCTCCGGTACCCTAAATGCTATTAACACTTTACTGCTCCTGTTCTTCAGAAGAGCAAGCTGACTCAGAGAGGCGAAGTAACGTATCCAGGATCACGTCCGGGGCAAGCAGGAGTCGAGACTCACCCCAGCCACGTGCGAAACACACCGTCTGTCCTCCTTTCCGGACAGAAATACTTCCAGGCTCCCCACATAACCCAGATCTGAGAGCTAACTCAAGCTCCAGGCTTGTGTTACTTTTCTCTCCAGCCATACTCAAACACGGATAAAAAGCTCTGAAGCTTCTGCGAGCTTCTGTCGGTCACCATTTCAATGACTGACTGACAGAAAGCAGCAACTAAGATCGCAGACAACAGCAGCAGCACGGTGCAGACGCTTAAGGGAGGGAGGAAGTTCTGGACTTTTCTGGAGACGATCAGCTGTCACCGAGCGGTTCTGCTGAGTTCTGTCTGCTCTCAGCTTAGATCGCTAACAGCTGGGCGGGGGCTGATGTGTGTGTGTACGTTTCAGAATTCAAGTTAAAATAAAATACCCTCTTTATTTTGTTATGTCCAGCACAGAGCCGAGGGGTCGAATCTGGGGGCCGTCACTCCAGCTGTTGCTCAAGCAAGTTCCTTAACTTCTGTGAGGCTCAGCCGCCTTGTCCCTAACCAGTGGGGTGCCAGGTAAGCAACAGCAGCCACCTCCTGCATTACCGGGAGGGTAACACAACGCATGCGCAAAGAGCAGAGCGCCGGGCCTCTGGCAAGGGCTCACACTCAGTTAACGTTAGTCCTTTCTTTTTTATGGTGGTAAAACATACATAAAATTGACCATTTTAACCATTTCTAAGTGCACAGTTCAGTGGCGTTAAGAACATTGATTGTGTAACCATCACCACTATCCATCTCCAGAACTTTTCATCATTTCAAACTAGTTAATGCTGATCCTTTGTGTTCACTCTCTTTCCATTATCCAACTTCCCTGGATCAGTAGGTGAGGCTGGGAGAGCCCCTCTTGGGGGCGGGAGGGTAAGGCTGAGTGAGTTCCTTTCTCAAAAGAGGAAAGGGTGTGGATTTTCACACGGACAAAAATGGGTCCAGAGATTTTTAAACACTGACTTCTGTGTAACCACCTGAGAAATTACGATGTTATAACTCAGTGGTGCCTGGTCTCGTCTTTGCTCTGTGTGTAAAATGTCACCTTGTATTAATTCATTAACTAGACTCACTTTTCTTAAGAGCTTAATGAGCCCGCTGGCCAAATTACTAATATCAGAGTGGCCTGGGACCAGAGTCCCAAGTGCATAATCCATGGATGATGAAGTCTCCATTTATTCCGGCTGTGCCTCGGGCTAATGCCCTCACGCTCCACCGTCAGCCTGAAGGCCAGGCCTGCGTCTGCTGCTTCTGCCGCGTTAGCTCCAGGCAACCCGGGGACGCAGACCACCGGGCTCTCCAAACCGCTGGCCTCCGGCAGGCTGGGTCTGCCCAACTGCAGGGGTGCTCGTCAGCTCAGAGCCATCACAGAGCTGCGCAGCCATCACCACAGCGTTCTAGCACGTCGCAGTCAAGCGTCTTCAAGAACAGCGACTTTTTCTAGCTTGCAGAGGCGCGGTCTGGTCGGACCAGGGACTGAGGAAGCGGACACCTGTGACTCGGCATTCCTTTGCTTCTAAAATTTCTCCCCTCCAGATGCAAATAAAATTTCCTGCAGGATATCACTTTTCGTCTATCAGACTGGCAAAGGCAAAGTCTGATTTCACACTTTGCTGGCCAGGTCTGGGGATAACAAGTATAGTCACTCCTGCATGGCCAGTGGGGAGTAAATTGGTACAACCAGGATGGTGGCGGAGTTAACAATATGTATTAAAATAAAAAATCCTCTGACCCAGCAATTCCACTCTTCAGAATCTAACAGAGACATCCACACAAATGAGAAACAACTTTGAAATACAAGTATTCACTGAAACATTGTTCATAACAGCAGCATAGAAGAAACCATCTAAATGTCAATCTGCAGCAGCCCAGCCGCGGAAATTCTGATGCATCCAGATGACACCACACCTCTTTAAAACATTAAGGCTGTTCTCCACGTGCCGATGGAACAATCCGAAAGCTATCTTGATGAGCGAAAAAAAGCGAGTTCGGTAGAGAATGCAGAGAGTATTTCTAGGACACGCAGGACTGGAAACACTGGCAGCTTCTAGGGGGAGAACCGAAGGGGGGGCAGGCCACCTTGCCACGGGTCACTGTCCCACTTTGTACCCTCTGAACTCTATCGTCTGTTAAAACACACTTGTCGTCTCTTCTTTGGCGTGGCCCAGGCTGACGGGGTGTCGAGGTTTCGTCCTTGTTTCCTTCTCTCCCTGGGAGGTGAGGGCTCCTCAGGGTTCACACCTCACGGTCACTCAAGACCCCCCACTGACCTGCCACTCCCCGAGCACGGCTCCGAAGCCTCCAGCCCGACCTCTGGCCTCCAGAATTCCTGTTCTGGAATGTTCACTGCCCTGTTCAAACTGATTCCTCATCACTTCTCTGAAAAATCAACTCCTGTGGGCCTTTTTAAGAAAACTATTTTTAAAGTGTATTTTTCTCCAGACTAAATATTTTTTTAAAGTCAGGTTTATTGAGGTATAATTGACACACAATAAAACTTGCCCTTTTATTTTTATTTATTTATTTATTTATTTTAAGGAAGATTAGCCCTGAGCTAACTCCCGCCAATCATCCTCTTTTTGCTGAAGAAGCCTGGCCCTGAGCTAACATCCGTGCCCATCTTCCTCCACTTCATATGTGGCACGCCTACCACAGCATGGCGTGCCAAGTGGTGCCATGTCCTCACCTGGGATGCGAAGCGGTGAACCCCAGGCCACCGAGAAGCGGAACGTGTGAATGTGCAAACTTAACCGCTGCGCCACCGGGCCGGCCCCAAACTTGCCCTTTTAAAACGTATAGTTGGATGAGTTTTAACACAATGATACAGTTGCATAACCCCCACCACAAGCAAGATCTAGAACCTTCTCATCCCTCCCCAAAAGCTCTTTGCTCCTTTGCAGTCCGTCCCCTCCCCTCATCCGCAGCCCCTGGAAACCACTGATCTGTTTTCCGTCCAGAGACTCCCCTTTTCCAGAAAGTCGTCTAAGCAGAATCCAGCAGTCCGTAGCCTATCGTGTCTGGCTTCTCTCACCTGCATATCGCCTCTGGGATCCACGCATGTTTCAGTATTAATATTTCATCCCGTTAGATTGCTGAGTAGTATTCTGTTGTCCTCATATATCACGATTTGTTTATCCATCTACCAGTTGAGGGAGGGAACTGGGTCGTTTCCA